CTGATATCAATCCATTTTGAAAAAAAAAAGCATTTATACTGGAATTAAACAGTTTGTTAATCAGTCAGTATATTTGCAATATATTCAATTGACACCTACGTAGAAAAAACCAAAAAAAAAAAAATCAAGACCTATTTCTATTGAATGATTTATTAAATATTATGTTTTTGCTATTTAGAAAGTTCTTTTTTCTGTGTAACTGAAAATAAAACCATCATATTTTAAGAAAGCCCAAAACCTATTGCAGCATTAAAAATGGATCAACACCAAAAAAAAATACTGACGTATGACGACGAACAGTTTACGCCAAACTTTTGAGTATCTAAAAAAAAATACATATATATATAAATAAATTAATTAACATACAAAGTTCTGCTTTGTATGTTGATAACAAATTTTTGAAATCATTGCTCATTAATTTTCATTCAAATTTTAAGCACTTTTTTACAAACACCTGTTTTCCTTTCAGAAAAACTTGTCATCGTAAACTTTTATTATGAACTTTTCAAAAGAGTAAACGAAGAAGAACAAATAAAAAAAAAATCAAAATAATGGTTGAGATTTATCAACTTCCTTATTCCTTTGAATCAGATTTCAATAAACAGCTTAACCAGTTAAAAAGTATAATATAAATATATAACATATAAACCGAAGTCTTAAAAACTGAATAAATGGGTAACATTTCCAAATATTAAATTCTTTATTTATTTTTTTTTTTTACATGAATTCTTAGATAATTTAGAAGCATGAAACTACCAGTGAAATCCTTTCCAATTCAATAGCTGACAATAACAGATTAGTGAAATTGAAAAAGATGAATAGACAAATTTATAAAATATCAATAACCAACAAAGTATTGAATTGAAGACTATAATAGAGCAAAAAAAAACTTCTTGTAGCCTATATTTCATTATTATTATTATTATTATTATTATTATTATTATTATTCTTATTATTATTATTATTATTATTATTATTATTATTATTTCACTTCATCCTAAACATTAGCATTATTGCTTTTCTTCCTTTTTCAAATATCTCCTATAACTGACAGTACCAACAAAAAGTGATATCTGGCCACCGTAATAGAGATAGTAATAAAAACTGTAAAAAAAAAAACCTTGCCAATCTTTTATGGTGTAAAAAAACAGCTTTTAATATGGCTCTATCAAAGTTTTTGCTATTATCTTATTCCACTGAATTTAGTTCTTCTTTGGTGTAGTTCAAATTCGGCTTCAAAACACCTGCCAAAAAAATAAGCCTCAACTTTGACATTATAACAAAGTTCTCTTAAAAAAAAAA